ACTTGAACCATTGAGCAGTTTGTGCTTAATCAGGTTCCTTGCCATTGATTTCATTAGCACTTGTTCAGTTCTCTGGCCTACATACAGGGAATGATGGAGACCCCTCCCATGGCATATTAACTTGCAACCATTGGTGACTGTCCCCTGCATTGCTCCATCAGGATACAGTTGACTAATGGACCTTGGGGCTCAGATACCACGCTCCCTCCACAGCCACAAGCCAGGCAGGGACTGGATGGATCTAACCTCTGCAGAGACCCCAGGATTTGCCTCTTGTGTTTTTAACAGTATTGGTCTCTGTGTCTCTGCCTTTCTTTCATGTAGATCCCTGCAATAGTGAGTCCCACCTGGTATTCTTCATCCTTCTCTTCTTTCTCAGTGGTGAGTTCATTCTTCTTCCTGATGACAAGCTTTAGCAAAGGGAAGGAATTGGGGGCTCAAGGGGTCCTGGGTGCAGGGAAGGGTAGGAGGAGATGCAGATGGCAGCTATTTTGTTAACCACCCACACATTTGCATGGCAGGAGCTTCACCCCGGTACTTTCACTTGCATAACTCAGGGTGCCCAGAGCCTATCTAATCTGGTGTTATGAAACTAAAGCAAGTTTTTGTGGTTGCATTGCCAAGGGGGTGGGTTTACATGGGAAGAAAATGTATTTGCTGAATTGACTTTAAATAGATCAGCCCAGATAGCAGGGCATAAAATAGTTTCAAGTCAAAACTCTAGATAAGGCTGGCTAACGCTCTAAGAACTCTATAATAGCTACTGGGTCAGGTGAATTGTTGGGCTCTCTTTCTCATGCAGTGAAACACTTCCTTCACATCTCTCCTTAAAGGTCACTTCCAGGGCTTAAATCCTTAGAGACTTTCCTGGCCCTCCCCTCTCCTCCCCCCATTTGGGGCTCTGGGCTTCAGTTGTGAGGCAGGTGCAAGGTCGCAGGGGCTTCAGCCCCACAGGGAGGGGGCGCCAAGGCTCCCACAGGTTTGAAAATATTTACTGGAGCTCTGTTCTAGGCAGCTTCAGCTGAATTTAAACCCTGGTCACTTCTGTCACGTCTCTTCCATTTGACTTCTAACTGTTTTTCCCTAACTCATTCATGCTTTGGGGCTCTTAGTGAAGTGAGGGAGGAGAGTCCTAAGGAGCCTTTCTAGTCATTGAGAGAGAGAGAGAAATCTGCCTTCTTATTAATCTAATTTAGATATTTATTACACACAGGAAAACTACATTAAAAGAACATTATTAAGATTGTAAAGTCAAGCAAACAAAAGTTAGCAAATGCCAGGAGTGACATATCCAGGGTAAGATCCAGACTAATGAGTAGTTGTGTCCCCCTGCCCTTTTACCTTGGGTGCCTTTTCACTGCTGTAGCCACCACTCCTGGTCTGCTCTCACACAGCCTCCAGCACATAAGTCACTCCAAGCTATATTGTGAGAGGGCTGCCTGCCAAACAGAGTGACCCCAACACACTCCCATTCCCAGATTTTCCCCCCGAAATGTATGTCTTGTACTGCCCAGCCCTTTCCTGGACAATACAAGCTTATATGAAGTTTGTCATTTAACTAATAAAAATAATACACACACTTGCTATCCCAAATGGAGTTTCCCAAACACTTCAATTCAAACACACTGGATTAGATAAAGTGATAAAACAAGAGAGAGATTTTAAGCACACACAGGTATAAGGCGTAAAAGTCAGAATTGGTTACAAGAAAAATAAAAGTAAAAGGCAACTAACGCTTGATTTTGCCAACTAGGGTAAGAGTTATCCATGGCTGGTGTTAGACTTGCTGGGGCCGAAGCCCAATCCCAACGGTTTCAGCTCAGGGTGGCGGGGCTTGGGCAGGTTCAGACTTTGGTCCCCCCTCCTGGTCGTGTAGTAATTTTTGTTGTCAGGAGGGGGTCATGATGCATGGAACTTTGAGAACCCCTGAACTAGGGTAAATTCAGGACAAAGTCTCACCATGTGATTCAGCAGTTCTATTGGCTGAACTTTCAGCCAGGATCCCTCCCCCAGTCCAGTCTTGTTTTTCTTTGTTCTTCAGGCGTGGTGAATGCCATAAGCAGAAAGAAAGGGAGGAATGATTTGTAGCATCTGTCATTCCTTTTTATAGCTTCCCCTCCTCCCTCCAAGAAGCATTTCCTGCTGAGATCTAGGAGACAGAGTCTACCTGGATGGGAATCCCATGCTGTTTCTCTGCTAAAATGTAGATTTTTCACCTACGTCCCTTTTCCTGCTAGTGAATAGCCACTTAACGGGTGATGGCCCATTTCACCTTGTTTACCCCTGGCTGAGGCATCAGCTTGCCTTTTGTCTCTGAGGAACTAGTTTGGCCACTCACCAGACTTGGAACATGTTTCAGTAACACCACACGGTGAAATCGTATAACTTTACATACAATATTGCCACACATTTTACCAGAAAAATAATGATCATCAAACTATGAGTTTTCAAACGATATCTCACAAGACATGCTTGTACAAAGATTATTATAATAGTGTGCAAGGGGTGAAAAATAAGATACAGACGTCACACCAGGATTAAGATGGCTCATGCAACCTTAATTCGTCCCCCTTGTGCATATTGATTCTGATGGTCTTTAACTATATGATCATATGTATTTTTTCCACAGGGCCCCTGCCTCATTCAGTGCATAAAAGAATGATGCTCACTTAATGAGCCGCTATTCAATATTTTGTTTTCTTGTCATTATTCATTGTGGCTCCAGGTTTATTTACTGCACACTATTCAAACCCTGCTCTGAAGATAGATTAGTCTCTAAGGTGCCACAAGTCCTCCTGTTCTTCTTTTTGCGGATACAGACTAACACGGCTGCTACTCTGAAATCTCTCAAAATGGGCTTTTCTGTGGTGCTCTCACCAGAGTATCTGAATGTTGTACAAACAATAATGAGTTTATCTTCATAACACCCCTGTGAAGTGAGGTGGTGGTGGTGGTATTATCATCCCCAGTTTACAGATGGAGAAACTAAGGCAAAGAGAGACTAAGGTCAAAAGTATTCACTAATTTTTGATGCCCAATTTCAGACACCTAAAAGCTGATTTTTCAGAGTAGTTAGCATTATATAGAGCATTATATGTTCAAAGCATAGCTCCCCTTGACTTCATTTGCAGCTCAGTGCTTGCACTTATGCAGATCAGATGCTAAGGTCTTAGGTCAGGCACCCAGAATATGAGGAACGTAAATCTAGTGACTACATGTGAAAAGTTTGGTTTAAGTGACTCAAATAAGAACTCTGTGGCAGAGACAGGGATGGGCAGCATTCAGCCATCTTAACTGTGAGACAGTCCTACTCTTCCTGCAGTCCCCTGCCTCAGTCAGTACAAATCTTACAACTTCTGCAACAAATAAGGCAGGGGCCCTACAGACAAGAGTCTCCTTTAATATCCAACCCTGATTCATCACCAGAATAGGCCCATCCTGTCCACTGAACAAGATAAGGGTCCTGTGGGGGGGGAAATTGTGATGATGTAACTGAAGACTGTACCATAATGCAGACACACAAGGGGCTGAACTAAAGTTGCACAGGCAGCCTTAATTCTGGCATTTCCCAACTTTTGATTGCTTGACTTCGTAACTTAAATAATCTTCTTTTAATGTAGTTTTTTGTGTGTAATTTCCTAACTCTTAAAAAAGCAAATTGAGGAAAAAAACCACAGAAATTCCATTATGTGGCATCGTATTGACACCCAGTGGGCCATTAGCTGGGTTGGAACCTTGAGATCCACCACACAGACCTCAGTCACTTCACTTAATGGAATAACTGATGACAGTAGTAAGTTGTCATCCTCTAGTGGCCCAGCAGTAGAGGGAGAGACACACTTTGCCAATGAGTTTCACAGATATTTGCTGACCACTGAGGAACGGTGAGACTCGAAAGGCTTGGGTTCCATTGCAGGAGGTTTTGTTCATCTTTTTACA